CTGCACTCCAGTCTGGGCGACAGAGTGAGACTCCAACTCAAAAAAAAAAAAAGAGTATGAATAATGAGAAATAGAACAGAATAAGAAAACGAACAGAAAACCAAGTGACACCAAGCAGTACCTTCTTCCATGGGCTTGGTGAAGTTACAAAGAAGAGAGGACAGCCCCTTCAGACACCCTGCCACAACAGGTAGCTTGGGCTCTCTCAGTGTTGAAGTCATCTAAAAGGGAATATATTAGAGAATATCATTAAAACAGAAAAATACAACCAAGTCTATGGAAACAGAATATTATAAAGTTTATCATACCTGGGTCTTAAGTTCACCCAGAAAAGCCCGGAACAGGTTTTCTGAATTACTTATCATCTCACTAGGATGAACTTCACCTAACACTCCTAGGAGCTCATATACTTTTTCTAAAACTGAAAAATAAGTGTTAGACAAATGAAAGCCTAAAATTACATTTAGATAAGTTAAACTAGCAAAAATGTATGAATAAGAAAATGAGAATGCTTAGTTAAAAAGTAATTTCACAATAAGACGTATAAAACATCTAATTTTAAGTACTGGTATCTTTTTTGATAAATCTTATGCAAATGTATTAATTATATTTGACACGTGTTAGGAGTTTCCTGTTTAATTTTTTTTCTTTTTTTTCAAAACTACAGCTCTGGGTCAGAGAGTTTTCTATTTTAAGAAATCATTTGTAAAGATTAACACTTTTATGAACATTTTCTTTGTTTCCATTTTTGGCTTGTTTTCAGCAAAAAGAATTTATTTGCACATAATATAAAGACCTTGGCATTGGAAAACTAAACCTTACACTAATAAATTGTTAATGTTAACAAATTTGCTCACGTATTTGAAAATAACATTTAGATGCATCTCACCTGTATCTGGTATTTTTGTTTTCATTGCAAGTTCTCCATAGAATTTACCAAATAATTCTCCAATTTTCAATTTATCCATGAGTCCGGAACTTCTCAAAGTCTGAAGTAACTAAAGGAATACAAACTAGCATTTTCTAAAGAGAAAAATAAAGAAAAGGCTTCCTCTATCCCAGTGTATCTATACATAGCAAAGTTTTAGAATCAAGTGTCTCTAGGAGATTTACCCTTGGTTCACATCTATCCAGGTCATTGGAGTTAGGGGTTGAGGTGAGTGGCAAAAGAACACAAGGGAAAGGTGGGTCCAACCCTTTATTTACCTTCTCAAGAAACCAGCATGATTAGAACCATTCCCTCAGAGGCCCTCAAAGCAAAGGACCAACCAGACCCAAAGGAATTCTACAACAGAAATGCAAAAGTCTAAAGTGCATGACAGTGAGCCCTAACAACCTCTAAATGCAACATACAGACCCATTCTCACTGCTCAGGTTTTAGGGAAAAACTCAAGAAATGCAGAGTTAATCTTTTGGCAATTCATAACAGCGTTAGGTTTTGCCAAAGGCAGTAAAATAAATGGAAGAGTAGGGAATTCCCTAGCTATTTTTCACCTTCAGTCCCCTTGTAGCACAAAATTCTTTTACCACCCAAAAGTGTCTGAGAACAAAATACCAGGGTACTGTCCAGTGATGTTTGGAAATGTGTATTTAATTCATATATCAACGTACTGGATCCTATCCTCTCCCGAGCCCTCCCCCAAAACAAACCTTAAACTCCCATTTTCTAAGTTATATGCTTAATATAAAATAGATATACTATGTACGTAGAAATATAAAATTACCTTAATAAGAAGGTCTAGGGCCGGAATTTTACATTTAGCAGCTCTATCTTTTGTATAAACACTGGTACACGTATGCTAGGTTTTAAAAGGAGATACAACAAAATCAGTAAGATACAAAAATAATAGCTCAACAACAAAACAAAAAACTCAACAACAGCCAAAACTACATTCCTGAGAGGAGTAATACCAACATGTGACATAAAATTTAGCATTTAGCTGTTAAAGTATTGCATTAGAGTACGTCAGGCATGGTAGTTCATGCCTGTAAATTCCAAAACTTTGGGAGGCTAAGGTGGGAGGATTGCTTAAGGTCAGGAATTTGAGACCAGTCTGGGCAATATATCAAGACCTCATTTCTAAAAAAAAAAATTATTTTAATTAGCCAGGCATGGTGGCATGCACCTGTAGTCCCCTGGAAGGGGGAGGTAGGAGAATCGCTTGAACCCAGGAGGTCGAGATGCAGTGAGCCAAGATAATGTTACTGCATTCCAGCCTGGACAACAGAGCAAGACTCTGTCTCTAATGCAGATTAATAAGCAACTTAAAAATTATCGAGTGCGTAAATGTACAGATTAAAACCTATCAAATACGTTAATATGCTGTGATAATATCAACAGTAACCAAACAAACAAAATAAACGGACACCTAAGCAGGATTTGTTTTATAGCACTTGCTGCCATATTCTCAAGAAAGAAAGAAAAGAAATATAAACACCCAAGTAAATTCAGAGAGGGGTTGAGGAGCTACAGGGAAACAGCACAACGCAGCGAAACACCAGGCGGCCTGACTCCAAAAGACACGGGCTTCTTAACTTGTCTCTTTGTAAGGCAGAGGGATTAAGAATGCCTACCTCACAGGGTTTTGGTAAGACATAAGACAAACTGTAGACTAAAGAACTTTGTAAATTGGGAAGCACTCTACAAACATTAGCTACTACTTCTACTTTGACAATTTTTTAAAATGTTAAAATTTCTATTGAAACCAGAGGGTATAGTAAAAAAAAAATTAATAAAAAAAAAAAATGTCAAAATTCCAACCAAGGTAGACAAGAAGTCAAAAGAGAAAAAAAAATAAAAGCCTATAACAAAGACTAAATATGTCATGTTTTAGCTAATTATAATTTACAAAACATCTTATAGATGGCCGGGCTCGGTGGCTCAGCCTGTAATCCCAGCGCTTTGGGAGGCTGAGGCGAGTGGACTGCCTGAGCCTGCAGGTTCAAGATCAGCCTGGGCAACTTGGCAAGACCTCATCTCTGCAATGAATCAAAAAATTAGCTGGACATGGTGGTGCGCCCCTATAGTCCCAGCTGCTTGGAAGGCTGAGGAGGAAGGACTGCCAAAGCCCAGCAGGTGGAGGCTACGGGTGGCTGGGAGCGTGCCCCTGTACTCCAGTCAGGGTGTTGGGAGTGAGACTCCAACTCAAAAAAAAAAAAATCTTATAAATGACATCCGATTGAATACATACTTCATCACCTCTTAGCACACAAGAAATAGAAGCAAATTCAAGACCAATAAAAAAACTTGCCTTGAAATGTTATACTTTTTGAAAATACAAATACGGCTCAAAAAGAACAACCTCAATTAACGATTGCTAGTTCCACAGTAAACTATGAGGAAACCTGGGGACAGCAGGTTAGAGAATGGGAAGCACCAGGAAGTCAAATCTTTCAGGCTATTGTCCCAGAGAACACACAAACTCCAAGGAAACGCACTGTACCCAGTGGGAAGAGTCTTTAAAATTATCTTTTACCGTGTTCTGGAATCTCCCCACAAATCAAAAAATCCAATTATTGTGACTTTTTATATAAGACATTATTCGCCCATGTCCAAAAAGTTATTTAGTTACAGAAAAATATTATCTGACAAGGGCCTCTGTTTACTAACCAAAAAAGAAATGAGCACACTTCACTGCTAACACAATCAACCAGGAATAAGCAAACTCCTCAATGAGAAAGGCATACATAAAATAAAAATTCAAGTTCCTTATGCCACAAGTTAAAATAGATGTTGATATATTATGAGGTAGGGTTTTCCTCCTTACCTTAATATCGAGAGAGTAAGGCATGATCTTCTGGCCAATTTTTTCTAAGAAAATACACAGAAATTTTAAGATTTCTTCTCTACAATCACGAAACTGTAAGAGACACACATAGTAATTAGGTTAAGAATAAGTCGCTCCAGCATAAAGAAATGTACAAGAGCCGGGCTCAGTGGCTCAGCCTGCAATCCCATGCCTTTGGGAGGCTGAGGTGAGTGGATTGCCTGAGCCCACGGGTTCGAGATCCGCCTGGGCAGTGAGACCTCATCTCTACAATAAATCAAAAAACCAGCCGGGCATGGTAGCGCATGCCTGTAATTCCGGCTACTCGGAAGGCTGAAGTGGAAGGATCGCCGGAGCCCAGCAGGTCGAGGCTACGGTGGCTGGGGGCGGTCACTGCACTCCAGTCCAGGTGACAGAGTGAGACTCCAACTCAAAAAAAAAAAAAAAAAAAAAAAGGAAATGTACAAGAAAAGCAAAACGAAAATGTTCAACTTACTTCATCAATGTTGAGTGATTTCCGAACAAATACAAGCAAACCAAAATCTCTGGAGAAAACCAAAGAAGTCTGTAATGCTGGACAAAGAAGAAAAAAAAAAAATGAGTGCCAAGAAGCATTTCATAAACCACCCCAAGGGGTTGCCTGATTTTCAAGGCAACCTGCAAGTGACAAAACACTAACCTAAGGCTGCTGTATTAAAACAAAGCAGAAAAGTCTCAATGATGTTCCACAGGGATATGGCAGGCAGAACAATGGCCCCAAAGATGCCTCTGCCCTAATTCCTGGCATCACATCTTTACATGGCAAAAGGAAGTTAAGGATGCAGATGGAATTAAGGCAGCTAACCACCTGACCTCAAAGTGGGATACCATACTGGATTATGGAGAGGGCCCAATGTAAGTACATGGGCCCTTAAAAGGCAGGAGAGGAAGAATAGGCCAGAATATGGGAAGGCAGGAAAGCAGAAGACATTCCAAACCTCTCATGAGAGGGACCTGTCATCCTGCTGCCAGCTTTGAAGACAAAGGAAGGGTTGTGATCCAAGGAGTGGACAGCTTCTAGAAGCCTGAAATGTCAGCAAACAAGCAAGCAGGCACCTGGTCCTCAACCTGGATGGATTCTTCCCTGCCTGATACTCGGTTGTAGCTTGGTGAGATGCATGCTGGGCTTCTGACTACATAAATAAGATGAACAAACCTGTGTTGTTTTTCTGCATCTGTGGATGATTTGGGGGGGCGCTGTGTTGTTTTAAACCACTAATTGTGTGGTAACTGTTACAGCAGCAACAGAAAACTAATACATGCCTCTATAATCTCGCAAGTGGAAGGACATAGGTTACATATTGAGAATAAACTTGGAACTACCTTAGAGACAAGTTAATAAACGAACCAAAACGATTTCTAACTTTCAAACTTTGAGAAGAGAAAGCAATTACATAATGCTGTTAGTTGTTTATTCGCTATTTCCTCATTACTGGTATATCCTTGACAATATACAGGCACCATAAAGCATCTAGTTTTAATGTGTTTTTCTCTGCCATGTTCAGCGGTGAATCCATTCACATTCATAAACTTGTACGCTCGTTCAGGTCACCATATTTCCACATCATATGTCAGCACTGGTCTCAAAGAAAAGCTCACCTAGTTTCTACTTAAGGACACACCTCCAAGGTCTGCATACTAGTGTTTTAAAAGGAATACAGATGCCCCGCATTTAAATACTTATATTTCAAAATGCTGAAAGAGACAGTTCTTCTACAAAGGCGAAAAAAGTCCTCATCCAGGCACTGTTAGGAAGTTGAAAAAAACAGCATGGCTTTTCAGCTACATTTCTGCGATGCTTCTCAAAACACGAACAGAAAATACAAGGGTCTGGAAACGATTCTGGCAGGTTTAGACGAAACTACAGTGAAAGAAAACGCTTGCCCGTCCTCGACCCCGACTTTGTTCAGCAAGGGTCGCCCAACGGGGGCCATTTCCGCCCACTCTGGCTTTCAAATACCCTTCTTCCAACGTCGGGGGGAACGAGCAAGAGGACACCTCGCTCTCCACACCCGTCCACAGACCCCCCAGCAGCCAGTCGCCGCACTGCACGACGCCGACCCGAGACC